ATTCACCTAGACAGCTTTTTGGAAATATAGATTCCTCTGTCTCACTCCCAAGATGTGATTTATCCAATCTGCAACAGAACACAGGGACCATGAATTCATATGTTTCCCCAAGCTCTTTAAACAGCTCGGGTGTGCAGCTGGGTTTGGATGCCACTAGGGCATAGCAATGTGGGAGATTGATTTCTGTTCATTTCTATCTGCTTTTCCCTTGTCTTCATTTTCATCCTTTACTCACCAATCCATTGCACATTTTTGAGCCCTTACTGGGGCGACTGATATAAGACATGCTCCTTGCCTCCCAGGAGTTCTGTCAGGTGAGGGAGACAGTCACATGAACCAAGCGTTTTTGAACAATGTGGAAAATGTATGGCAGGGACATGAGATAGGAGCTGGAACAATCAGGAGAGCTCTACTCGTCCCACTCCTCTTCATTTCTCCTCCTCTCTATTCAAAATTGTCAGGGCCAAATGTAGGACTGGACACTGCCCTGGAGGTTTAAGAGAACTATCTTTAGGATGGATTGATTGTCAGCCCATATTTGCCACACCCCCACTCAGTTGCCTCATGGGCCTGTGGGAGAGTCTCCAAGCAAAATTAGTTCCTGCTCATTTTAAATGAATTGTGTGGCATTTCCCCCATGAGAGTGGCAAGGCAAGAAGAAGAGAACAATGAATAAATAACATCTAAGGACCATCTGACTTTGTAGAGTGCAACCTAAGCCTATGCCTACACACGAGTCAGTCAGAAAAGCCTGACTCCAAGCTGGTCAGGGTCAGGTTCTTATTTCTCATCAGGACCAATGTGGTATCCTCCTGATGGGTCTTCCAGCTTCCTGGGAGCCTCCCTCTCTGCCTATCCATTTTGTATACTTCTAACAGTGATTGTTCAGCCTCACTGTGCATAAAGACCACCCAGGGGCTTATACAAACTACAGATGCCAGGGTCTCTCTCCCAGATATTTGGTTTCAATTGGTCTGAAGGTAGGGCCCAGACATATGTGTTTTTAAAAAGGTCTCCAGGTGATTTCAGAGCACAGCCAGGGTAGAGAATCATGGGAATGTTGGTTAAGATAAAGCTCGATTGCTTGATCAGCTCCATTGCTCACTACCTGTGTCACTTTGGAAAAGCACTTACCCTTTCTGTGCTTTGGTTTATTATCTGGTAAATGGGAATATTAATAGTACCTATCTCACTGCATTGTTATGAAAGTAAAAATATATACTTGTATACATATATATCTTTATGTATATAAAATGATATAAAGATCAATGTATCTTTCATAACTCCCTGCTACCAACTAACATATATGAAAGTTCCTCATTTTGCCATGTCAGCTGTATCTTCACTGTTATCTTTCCATCCTTACATCTTAGCCAAATCACAAACTGGTGCTTTCCCACCTCTGTCAGCAATTTCCTCAACCTCCAAAGAATGACTGTCCAATGTCCTTGTAATGCTCCCATATGTAAATTAAGCATGTGCTATTGTGCGCTGGTAATGGACAGGGCCTGTGTGTCTCTTCTAGGTTGTGAAATTATGCCGGGAGTGCCTGCAGAAGCAGGAGGAAGTGTTTGCGGACACCAATATCTACATGCTTCGGATGCTGAGCATTGTTTCAGAGGTCCTCTCTTACCTCCAGGCGTTTGAGGAGGCNCGTTCACTGCGGCTGCTGGCCGCTCACGCTGGCTGCTGGCTACATACGGTAGCCCATGGCAACCCACTGCCACAGGGGCTGCAGCCTACACCGTCGCCGGCGACTCAGAGCAGCCCAGCTCCAGGTTGAGCTGTTGTTCAGCATCTTAGCTGTGGAGGGTAGTGTCACTGGCCCTCATATGTGAGATCCAAACCGGGGCCCTCTGGCGTCCCAAGCCAGTTCTTAACCATCGCGCCACTCGGCCAGCCCAAGAATTTTGAGTTTTAAAGATGATGGAACTTATAGTAGATTAGAGACTAGTGGTCATAAATTAGATGTGATGTTTTGAGCCACTACTTGAGCATCAAGCCACGAATGAAACTAAAAATGCAAGTTTGAAAGATTGGTGGTATAACTCTGGACCACCTGTCACAGAACTCCGGGCAAGACATAGACCCTCTCTTTTTAATGTGCTTGATTCAAAGGGTCTTAGGAAAGCAGACACACACTGAACTGACTTGTCTGAAACCCAGACATGTTTCAAGTTAACAGAAGGCTAAGTGGCACTCTGGAGATAGAAGGCAGCTGGAAGCCAGAAATCTCAGCCAAATCAAAGATCAAGGCAAAGGTTAAGTCAGGAGTGAGGCCCACAAGCAAAAGTCAGAGCACGGATGGCTGCATGAATTGTTGGAGTCAGGCCATGGGACAAGTACCAGTAGACATGCAGAAGAATTCCAGGGAGGCCCAGATACAGAAGGATATGGAAACAAGGGTAGTCAGAATTGAGGGATAGTCAAGAACTCTGCAGAAACCAAAGTAGGTGAGGTGGGTAGAAAGATAAATATAACTCCCCCTTTCTTAAAAGATCCTGACCCTGAAGCAAGCTGCCCAGGCCAGGGGGCTCTTGTGCTGCAAGGTGGACATTGCAGAACTATCTCAGGACAGCTGGGAGGCTGAGGGAAGATCCCGATCGCCTTCTCTAAGGGGGGCTTATGGGAACAAATGCCCACCTCCCATTACTTTTTGGTCGCTTAGTGAAGGTGACCTCACCAAACAATGTAAGCAGCAAATGTAAATGGAGCTTTTGAGCCCAATTCCTTATAGTGAAAAATTGGAAAACTACAGAACTGGTTAAATAAATTATTGTAGCTTAATACAGTGGAAAACTCTACAGCTATTAAAAGTGGTGACATATTTTTATAGATATGGGAAAATATCCCTAATCGACTGAGTGAAAAAAACAGAATATAGACAGAAATATGGTACCATTCCAGTTAGTGTGTATATGGTATTGGCATATACACATACATGCATGTGTGCACATACCAGATTACAATTCAGCCAGTACACACTGATAAGGCCATATAGAGATACTCACTGTTGATGGTTAGCATTGGTTCTGATTGGTGAGTGTCTTTCTTTGTACCAGTTATTAAATATTTTAAATATTATTCCCACATATATGCATTGGAAAGTGTTCCTCAAAACGCTGTGTCCATCTTTGGGTGTGTTCTGGGGATTTCTACTTTTTTTCTCCATAGTTTTTTCATGTATTGTAATTTTTTAAAAAAGATTTTATTGGGGAATTGGGGGGAGGGAACAGTGTTGGGGAATGGAGAAGGAGAACAGACAAGTTGCTGTCCTTTTGTTCTTCAGTTGTGGAGGGNTCATTGGCCTGTGAATTTGTGTTTCTAGCCAAATGAGTAAGTTGGCACAAGAAGGTTCATTTTGGGGGGAGGATGTTACTCATAAATAAATTGTGGGAAAACTATACAACATGTTAAAAGGAAGCTCTGTTAGGAAGGTGTCAAGGAGGTGGAAATACAGTTCTGTCCCAAGAAGGACATTAAAGTTACTCTTTTCCCTTTGAATTCTGTTTTCCAGGGAGAGGGCTGAGGGCTGAGAGCTCCTAGCTTCCTGTACTAAAGTTCAGAATATAATCCTGACTCCTCTTCCCCACGAGGCTGTGGCTTGGTGGCCCAGGTCAGAGTCAGCTCTCACAGCTTCACTGTGTGGAGTTGTTGGACAACTCACCCACCTCTCTGCACCTCAGTCTCCTCTCAATGGGCTGCAGATGCTTCACAGCACTGGTGGGAAAGCAGATGGACTTAATCAATGAGAGTACTTTATAAGTTGTCAAATACTTTGCAGATATAAGAAAGGTTGGTTTTAAGTGTTATGAGTTTTTCGTATGCCCCTACAGGAAGCTCTACCACCCCAACAATGCCCAACTGGGCATGGCTGTGATGCGGGCAGGATTGACCAACTGGCATGCTGGTAACATTGAGGTGGGGCATGGGATGATCTGCAAAGCCTATGCCATTCTCCTGGTGACACATGGACCCTCCCACCCAATCACCAAGGACTTAGAGGCAAGTAGCGTCTCAGGGCTGGGCCTCCCTGCCTGCTCAGAGCTATCTGAGGGTGAGAGCTAAGTTCTGGACTCTGCTTTTGGAAAGTCCATACATTGCCTGCTAGACCTGAAGGGAACTCAGAAATGCTTTAGCCCACTCCCCTTGTTTTACATATGAGGAAATTGAGGCCCAGGGAAGGTGAATAATCTGACCACTGTTGCATAGCTGGTGGTTGGCAAAGCTGAGACCTGAACTCTGAGATGCTCCAAGCTTGGACTGAGAAAACCTAAAAAATGGTGTGTGTGTGTGTGTGTGTGTGTGTGTGTNTAATTTTTTTTTTACAACTTCCACATCCCTATTATATAGTCTGAATAAACAATAATTATTTTCATTTTGGAAAAAAAACGTTATCAAATTTGCCTGCACACACACAAAGAAAAACCCACAACAAAACAAAACAATACCAGAAAAGAGCTTTTGACATGGATAAGCATAGCAAGTAAACTTTTCATTTGGACTTTGAAAATTTGGTACTTTTTCTTCAAAATTATAGTGCCCTCATGGATGTCTTAATTATAGTACCCCCTTGCCTCAAATATCAAAACCTCTTTTTTTTATTCTTCAATATCCCTAGGCTGCTCAGGCAAACACAGTAAGCCTCACGAATCTAGACTTCACAGAGGCAGCTGACAAATTCTCTCTTAATATACTTTTGGTGAAGACAAGGAAATATGAACTGGATGCTAAGACACTTGGAAGGGTTTGGGTTCCCATAACCATAAGGGCTGTCTTTAATGAATGAATGGCGAACGGAATACGAATTTTTAGGGAAGTCCTCAGCCTCTGTCCTCAGCCCTGTGCTGGCCAGTATTTAAATCAATGACTTGGGCGAAGATGAAAAAGCAAGGGCACATCTGTAGAATATGTGGTTGACTTGAAGTAAAGAGGAAAAATGGAAAATATTTTGGGTAACAGAATGAGAGTCCAAAATGTCAGAGAAAATACAAAAAGGATCAATGTCAGATTCTGCACTGGGGCCAAAAGCCCTGGCATGAGCACAGGGTGGGAATGACCAGCTGGCAGCAAGGCTCTGGGCTTGGTCAATGGAAAATACAACATGAACCAGAAGCACAATGAGGCAGCTTCAAACGCTGTAGCGATCTTGAGCAGCATTTACAGAAATGAAGCATTCAGAACGAGGAGTCCATGAATTTTGTACTACACTGAACGTGAAAGATGGCAACTCTTCAAAGATGTAACTCAATGTCCTTCCCTTTCCCAGCCCTCTCAAGATGTGGTAAAGGAGATGATACAATTTTCTAAAGATACACTGGAGAAAATTGACAAGGCTCGCTCTGAGGGTTTGTACCATGAGGTAAGAATTCGTTTTTATAGGGGGTGGGGGTGGAAAGCTTCTCTAGCAAGGGAGGGAAATGTGGTGAGGTGAAAATGGAGAGGCTACCAAGTATGTTGTTTTTCTGGAAGATGTCCCTTGGCTGAGACCAAGATTCCTCTTGCCCTTAATCTTTTAAGCACTCTTAGGGGTGTATCCTCAGTGACTGTTTTACCCACTGAAACTGGGTCTGAGGAGAACACAGGCAGCCTGACAAATGTTCCTGGCGCATTTGTGATGTTTCAGTTTGGCATCAGATTGGAGGAATGGAGATAGCAGTGGGTTACTTGCTTTCCCATAATTAAATTCATGTCCTGGCTACAGTTTCAGTCTCTACAAACTGAACATTCAACCTTGGTTCTCGAAGCACCAGGAGTTCTCAACTGGCTGTACACTAGAATCACTGAAAAATCTTACTGCTCAGATCCAGACCCAGGACAATTTCACCAGAATCTCTTGGGGTGGGACTCAGACATCAGGATTTTTAAAGCTT